ATTCTCTCTCTCTCTCTCTCTCTCTCTCTCTCTCTCTCTCTCTCGATTTTGTAATAACAAACGCAAATTTCTTCAAAATACTGCTAAATATTGTTTAGCTTTATTATAATTTCGTGATATCTTTTCAGTATCTTAATAATATTGTTGTTCATAAGCCTAAAAGAAAAATGTCGCGATATACAAATGCAAAAAATATACTCTGGAATCATCTGATCCGCGGGCTACGTTCAAATTACGAACTTCTTATCGCATGTATCATATTTTAAATCGAATCTAACAGTGATAATGTTGTAACGAAAGAAATACTTTGACGATGTTCCGTAAAATTGATTATATAATTATTTGTTAATTGTACGTTTAAGAACATTTTAATTTATCGTAAGATCATTCATAATCTAAATAAACAATTTCTCTGTCAAACATTTTTTTTCATCATAAACAGCGAAAGTTATTTCAAAGTTACTTTTATATATAATTATTGTTGTTTTAAAAGTTATTTTATACATATTATTATTTGAAACTCAATCATTATGCAATGTAATAGCAAATTAATAAGATTTTTTTACAGGGAAACACATGCCGACTGGCGTAGGATCACGAATCAGTATGGACCTTACAAAATTCGTAATAATTCTACCGATTCTCAGGTTGCTGGTCTAAAGTTCACAGCATCAAATATTTTGTATATTATTGATTATTTTAATAAATTATTTTTTCATTAATCAAAAGATACTAGTAATTTTTTGCGATTCAAAAAATATGATATTGAGATAAATTAAGAGACTATATAAAATTCTATCCTAATGAATATACAAAGTGAATACGATAAAATTAATGCAAGAAAATTGACATCATCAATTTTTAATTAACAATTTTTCGAAATACATTGTTTATATAGAACAGTCATTGATTGTGATAATGAATTATGTACATGTACGAATCACAATATGCACAAATCTTTAAAATTGCAATATTAAATGTTTAATGGTAATTAAGTAATGCGATGATACTTTAATGAATAAAACAACAAGATAAATTCGTTGATATAGAAAACACAGAGATGTTTTTAAAAAAATATATGTATTGTATATAATTACATTTTCTTTTTAATATGTGTTTTGTTTACATCAAAGTGAATTTATTTTATTCCATTCGTAAAAGTATCAAAATAATGTAATCAAAATATGAATTTTTACGAAATATTTCATATTGACATATATATTTATAAAAAAGAAAAAAAACACTTGCGTAAAATATGCTACATAATTAACTTTATTATTTCCTGTTATTTTTTTCATTTGTATTAGTGGAATATACAGATTAGAAAGATTTCTGAATACATATGTACTAATTTACATATTTAATTCTGATAAAATGGGAACAAGATAGATGAATAAATTTATATGTCAAAGTTTCATTTTAAGACCGCTTTATACAATTTAGAATTTGCAATGAAATTTACAGATTAGCACAATTATATGGTACATACACATAAATATACAATATATATTGTATTTTATTGATGATTATAAATTGACATTAATTTTTTATATAAAACTTTTGTAAAACATTTTTTTTCTATAAGGCGCATATATTTAGTTTTTTTTTTTTTAATATTAGTAATACTTTAAACGATTATCATCGTGGAATTTTTTCTCATCACAACGCTATAAGAAAGATTAAATATGTTTCCATAATTCTCTCGACTTTCTAGCTAATCTACCTCATTCCGACCTACATTTCTCAATTTAACATTCTGTAATTCTAATTAGCTTAAAATTAACCCAGATTGTGTTTAACGACGAATTTGTTCGTTTCATGTGTAATATTGATATTACATAGCACTCAAATTGATAACAAAATTTGAACAATTATGCGTTTAAATTGTATTTTAATTTTTATGATTTCTCAAAAAAATATTGCAGTAAGTAAAATTTGAAAATATATGATTCTAAAAAATATCAAAGTCTAAATTTTATTTATAATTTCTAAAGCAAAATATTTGATGAGAAGCAATCTCTTTCTTATTTTTATTTTTGAAAAAGCCTCCTTTTTATTACATAATGTGACAATTAATAGAAAAATATGTAAAGTTCTCTTTTTATTTGGGTCTCAGATCGTGTTATATCCTTTTTTTTTTTAATTCACCAGCACATAGAAAGAGAAGGATGATCGTCAACCAGTTTACGAATAACGGGTACGTCGACCGCGTTCTACGAGGAAGGCGAGGTTCACATAGTTGAAAGTTGCGTGGGTTTATGAAGGAAATCGAAGAGCAGGAGTCGCGAACGATCTCATTTATCTGAAAAATCTCAGCCGTGTTGAGAGCGGCAAGTGCGTGACGGAAACTTTGATTTCGTTTATAACTTATTAATTTATTTGTATTAGTGATTTATAGCTTTTATGGAAAAATGTCATTGCTGATGATCTTGCTCGGTGTTTTGTTGCATTATTGTGCATTTGGTGCATCGGGTGAGTTATTTACATTTACAATAATTATTTAGTTACATTTAATTGCACATCAAAGTAAATAAATATTTTGTTTTATAAAGAAGTATATAATTAAATTGCATTTATATGTATAAAATAACGTTTTGAATAAATTATTTATTGGCATAATATTTCCTGCTAAATTGTCAAAAATATATTTATTAGGCATCTTTAAATAGTATTTAAATAGTATTATATGTGACAATATTATTAATATTATATATATATATATATATATATATATATATATATATATATATATAGGTATTATATATATGTATCATTTTTTGCGTATACGCAAATCCAGGATAAATATTTAATAATTTACATTTGTGATAAATTTCAGATTGCAAAATACAGTATCGATAAAATTATAAGTATATAATAATAATAAAATGTAAGAATAAAATAATAAAAAGAATATACTACAATCAAAAAAATTTTAAGTAGATTTTATACATTAAATAATTAAAACATTAAATAATAAGCAGAACTTTTATACATTAAATAATTGTATCTTTTATATTTAAAAATATCTTTATATAAAAAATATCTAACGTAATATATATGTAAATCCATAAATATTAGGTGTACAAAAAAATTCGGAGCTTTAGATTTCATACAATCGAAATAATAATTTAAATTTTACATATCTTCCCTTTTGCGGTTTTAAAGCGTTGACATGTAGTCTTCTAAAATGCCATACGGTTTGGCATTTGATGCACATAACCTCAAAAATCAGTAGTGTTCACGATGGCAATAACAAAAAAGCATATTCGATTTTCCATCCACTTCGCGTTTCATCTGAAGAAAAATGCTGCTGAAGCCACTGCAATGATTTGTACTGCATATGGAGAGAACGCTGTAAGTCATATTACATGTAAAAGATAGTATCAAAAATCCAGCACGCGGTTCATCTTCAAGACTGAAATCTCCTTGGCGAAATTTTTTGATACTATCTTTTTACATGTAATATGACTTACAGCGTTCTCTCCATATGCAGCACAAATGAGATTTGAAGAGATACGAAAATGCATTGATGACTTTATCGCTTCGAAGCCGATGAGTTTCTATCGTCAAGGAATTCGCAAGCTACCCGAAAGATGGCAAAAGGTCGTTGATGCAAACGGGGAATATTTCGCTGATTAATATTTTTTTGTTTGTTTTTGAATAAAGACTGAATTTTACAAAAAAAGCTCAGAACTTTTTTGTACACCTAATATAAAAATTATGTAAATTTCATAAATAAATTATATTACAATAATAAATACAAATTAAAAAATTCTTTGATTTCAATTACGTATTATACGATGTGTTTTCTTAATAAAAATTACTTTTTAAGTATCTTTATTACTGCTTAATAAATGTCCCTTTATGAATATCTTACAGATGAACACAGAAATCTGACGGGCGATCATACGTTAGGGGCAACACATGTTATGAATATGCCATTAACACCTTCACCAGAGAATAATATACGGCAAATTCAAGGAAATTATCCTTTCCCTTCGCCTGGATATAGACCGCAAAGGTAAACTCATATAGTTTTTATATTTATTTGTCATATTTTATGTCAGATGATACTTGAATATATATTATTACGAATATTAAATATTTTAATATTATTATTTATAAATAATTATAATTTTTATTTCTTTATAATAAAATGCAAGAATTATTTTAAAAATTATGTAAATTATAAAAATTTGAAAATTGCTTAACAAATACATAGTATCAATATTCTGATTATTCAATAACGTATATCTAAAGCAGAATACGTATCTTACTAATGGATTTCATTTTTGTATCATTAGCAACTATCGGAAGAATTATAACAATTGATAACAATGTTAGTCAAAAGACAAAAATTAGATATAGACAAAAATTCGTGAAAAGCGATAAAAAAACATTCTAGTTCGAAAAGTTTTACAAACAGTAAGCTTTTGACCAAGCATTTATTTATAAATATTAAAAATGTTTCAAGGAAACTATTTAGTAAACAATTAACTGGAAAATGAATGATCATTATTCATGCAGCATTTTAGATAACTATTGGCAATGCAACAATAAAACACAAAAAGCAGTCATTACGTTGAAAAAATTGAAAATTAATTAAAAATTAACAGTAAATTGTACAACATAGAACAAAACTGGATTTTCATATCGACTGGCCGATAATGAATAACGGTCGTTTTGATAAAACTATTGTTGTTTCTGACATAAAAATTAACATCGAATTATTTTAATAAAAACGATTCTACTTCAACGCAATAAAAAAAAATATACAAAATCATATCAAAGTTATATTATATGTATATGTTAACGAATGTAATTAAATACAATGCATATTTTAATCTTATATTTTCGTTATAGGTGTCCTTTATGCGACAGTTCGATTTATCCTTACTGCGGTGAAAAATTGCTACACGACGCCTGCTGCTGTACCGATTCTCACGATTTACCTTATCAATGTAGATTAGCGGACTGTCGATTTTTGCACGCCAATAGCTGCAGAGAGCATCGATTAATCGCTAATTGCTGCTGTAGCGACGATTATCGCGCTATCCTGAAAAGTCTCGTGCAGGAATAAATTTATTACCTACTTTTGTAGGTAACTTGTGCATCACGAAAACTATAAAAATTATCAATCTTAATAATGAATAAAGTAATTTAATCCATAATTTACAGAAAATTTATTTATAAAAATTGTTAATAAAAGTTAAAAATTAATAAAATGTTTTATAAAACATATTTAAATATATATACTTTTGTAAAAATAATAAAAATGTGTATTGTGATTTTGCGTGTTACCATGCGTAATAAACCATAATATAATTTTGAAAGAAATACATGTAAAAACCTCACGAGTCTCATGTATATAAAAATAATATATAAAATAATATCAGATAACAAATTGATATCATTAGAGTAACGTTAGATCAGAATGGTATTAGCTTACTTAAAATTTATTTAAAATACAATTTAAAATACAATTACTTTTTACGTCTAAGATAATAGATTAGCAATAAATAAAGAGTAATTAAATAAGTAAAGTTAAATTTTGTAATAGTGCTAATTATTACCGACACAAAAATAGAATAATTTTTACTAGTAGAATTGTTTAGATTCGAATCCTTAAAAGTTAAGGATCATATAGGGATTTCTCAAATCTAGACTCACACAAGGAATTTACATCCCTAAAGATACGCTAATGCTTAGTTGGATCGCGAAGAAAGATATGATCTCAATTCCGTTGCAGAATTCGCAACGGAAGTGATTCATTTTATAGAAAGATCCAGGAGAGAGATGCACGAAACAATAAATTGCCGGGTCCGACGGGATTCGCCGACTTTCGTCTCGTGGGGCGGCTGGTAGCTCCGTAGAGGTCACATTAAGGTTATACACGTGTCAGGGTTCTGGCCCTTGGGTCCACGTGTACCCCCACTATTCGCACTGTGACGACTATAGATAAATTGAACTGCGTTCCTGAGACGTCCTCAGCGCGACCGTGGGCTACATCTGGACGTTGTCAAATGCTTGTAAACTGATATGGATTCAGGAGAAGGAAAGAATCTTGGAAACTTTTTATTTATATGATATATTCAGCGTTAAAAGCACAATAGACGTGGGCCACTAATGCAGAACCGCGAAAAATTTCCTTATTGAATAAATCTTAAAAATGTATTAATTGGTTAATCAGGGACAATACAATAATCAATTCGACATATATATTTATTTATTGATTTCTGAAGCAAAAGGTGAATTTTTTTATATATACAAATTTGTTTTTACAAATGCGTTCTATCCATTGCAAACATTAGTTTATTGAAAAATATTCTATTTTAATGTATCTTGCAAGAATTTTTATTATGTCTTTTCTCCATTTTCACGTCATAATGCAAATAACTGCAATGTATCTACAAAGCAAAACTCTACAAAATAAAAATAATTAATTATATGTATATCACATAAATAATTTTAATATAAATATAAGAATTATAAGAATATAAATTTGAAATATACTATTTAATTTTAATATTAGTGTATTACAATATGTGACTTTTTTTTTATATACATATAGAATATATACATATACATAGAATAAAAAAATTAAAAAAATAATAAAATAATTTTCATTGTTCAGATCAAATCATTCAGAGATTTGTACTTATCTCTATCAAATAAATAAATAAATAATAATAATAATAATAATAATAATAATAATAATAATAGAAAATAGTAGAAAAACAATAATAAAATAGTATTTTTCTATGTTTTTGCGTAATATTTAATACATATGTACGTTATATATTAAATTTATTGTTACAAATACAAAATTTAAGTACATATAACGGGAGAGAAGAATTGAATAAACAAATAGATAATAGATGACTTCCATCGGCAGACTGGGTCTTCGTGTCGAATAATCTTTTTACTTTTCTGAATTTCAAGATAATGCTTATCGCGAACTATGTGTCGTTAATTCAACGATCTTGCAACGTAGCCTACTCAAAGCTAAATCTAAATTCATCCCTTCCCTATTAAATCAATAATCAAATTTGAAATCGATTAATCCCCGATTATTGCAAAGTATAAATTATAAATTTTATTGGAATTGAATAATTTATTAAAATCTTACACATCATGAGTATTTAGCGCCGAATCTCGTAGTAGATACATATGACCATTGTCCATATGTCGCAATCTTCTTATCAAATTTCTTATTAAAGATAATAATTTCTCTCAACGGGTGTTGAAATTATGCGATATCTTCCATGATTTTAATTTCAAATTGCGATTGCGAAATATTATCGGGAGGATTATAACTCGCTTACTTGCATTTCAACGGTAATAAAAAAATAATCGCATATCGGATATGCATATTTATGACAATAAATAAAGTTATTAATAAAGTTATCAATAATAACACAATGACGGTGATGAAATCAAAGTCGTACACGTGTCGGCGATCCTGGATCTCTCATTGAGATGCCAGGTATATAATTATTACCGAGCAGATGGTATTCTGCTTGGAATTTATAGATGCATATTAGAAGATAATAAGATTCCAAACAGGCTCCGACAGGAACTATAACAAAAAAGAATTAACCTTTCAGGCCAGGAAGTTTTAAATACATTTCCTAGATATATCATGTTTTTTAGTTCAAATTCAACGATAAATCCAGCTTTGACAATTGGAGTTCATTATTTTAACGTTTGAATTGGTTTTCACTATTTTAACGTTTTGTTAAAAAATTTAATTTGTGGCTTTATAAAATTAATAGAAAGTTATAATTAACAGGAAAAATTTTATTGAATGAATTAAATTTATTATAAGTTATAGACTTGCATGATTTCGAGAGAGAAAAAAGAATTACGTACGTTAAAAGATTTTTTTTTAAAGTCTAAAGATTTTTCAAATTTTCCATTTATCACTTCTTAATCACTTCATTACATCATTCTGTCTGTGATCTATCATACTTAATTAGTCATCTATGAAAACAATCTCCACGTGTCATCTATTACTTCATCTTATTTTCGCGAGATATTGTCGATGTTCTCTTGACCAAATAAATACAATGAGAATAATAACACGTGCCAATTGTAAATTTGCTTCGGTACAAGAATGCAAAAATCATTTAATGGAGGAAACATGTAATATTTCAAAGAGATTTGAAAACAAAGAAACTAGATAAGATTTACGTATCATTAATTTGCATTAAATTCTGTATCTGTTGAAATTTTATTCTTATACAATATCAATATTCTTATACAATATCAATATTCAAGGGATCTATTATAGAATTATTTGAAATTTATTTATTTTCTAAGTTTCTACTGTGTTCTCTAAAAAAATGAAATAATTTTGTTCGTTTATTTTAAACAGTTCCATAATTAGAGAGAGACACACACACACACACACACACACACACACACACACACACACACACACACACACACACACACACACACACACACACACACACACACGCACGACACACACACACACACACACAACACACACGCGACTACATGTATATACAGTGTACCCCAATTTTATAATATGTCCTTAGAGAAGGTCTTATTAAATTGATTAAAGCAAATTTTGATTATGATTGTTCAATTATTTCTATTTTATTGCATTTTTTAAGAAATAATTTCAAGCTATTCTAAACAATTCGATATGTTCTCCGGATTGTGTGTGGCCACGAAAACAAGTAAACAATTTTATACAGATTTTGACAGAATATTCGAACAGATAATATGATATAAATTTACGTATTGCTTCAATTAAAATGCGTGCTAGATCTTTTAATTTATATTATATTCCTTGTATCAGATCCTACCTATAATATGCCTAAAAAAGAATTTATAAAGACAAATAGTTATAATTAACACTATCTAGCTATAAAACAATTTTATGATAAAAAGAGATAAATTATCTAATCTATGTATTATATAATCTCACCATATTATGCTGTAATATTTGAATCTATAATACAAGTTATTAAAAGTAATGATCATATAACACATTTTTTCAGATATGCAAACACTTTGCATGTAATTATTTAACTACATCAATACGCAATATTTTTTTTCGTAAGTTAATCAAATATCTTTCCCACGTCGCATCTACGTCATTAAAGAAAAAACAATTTTTCTCATGTTATCCGAGCTGTATCAGAATTTTAAGTAAAGCAATAAAGATAACTAAACTGAATTAATAAACAAAAAGTACAACAATAAGTAGAAAAAATATTTGCATAACATACAATACTAAATAAAAAATATATAGTAAGATAAAAATATCTCAAGAACATTTAAAATTATATATAAAAAATATTCTTAAAAAATAATGTATCCTTCAATTATTTATAAACATGTAGTAAAAAAAATTTCCAATTTAGTGGAAAAATAATTAAACTTTTGTTGAAAAATAATTTTTAAATATCAAATCTTCATAAAATATTAATTCAATTAAGACGACTCGTTATGTGGACACTTCAATGCATATAATCTGATAGATGCAAATTATTAACTATTAAAATTTGAAAAATATCGTATAAAAATATTATACTTTTTTTTTAAATCTTCCATATTAATATTTATTATAATTATCTTAAGAAAATTTCTATTCCGTTCAGATTAATATCAATGAAATTAAAATTATCGAGTTTTGTGTTTAAAATTTATATAGAAAAAAGATTCAGATTTAAAAGCATATTGTATTTGAAAGAATTATTTCTCGAACTTGTATGTAATTCTTCGATTCTATTCCAAACGAATGACTAATTAATTAAAAAAACGAAATATTTAGTTCTGTTGCATTTATCAGATTTATGACAAAATGCGCAAAAATTATATAATTCCACTATGATGACATAACTTGAGCACGCTTTGTACATCGTATATGATTGTTCAGCGTGGAAATTTCCTATGTAAATTACCTCGTCATGTACCAGACAGTTTTGAGACGGTGCGAATAATTATGAACAAATATATGAGGAAAAAATTTTCAGTTGATTTATGTTTCAATTTGCGTGATCATTTTTGCAATAAAACGATATGCATTTGCTTTCATATTAAGAATAAATATGATAATTAACATATTATTTATATGTTTACTTATATGCATTATATGCTTATTTATATACTGTTTATTGATTTTCAAAAAAAACAGTCATCGAGAAGTTCATTCTGAACGCAATATGCAGCCGCTGAGAAGAAAAAACTTACTTCATCTTTCTCTATAAATGTAAATTTATTCTCTGAATCATCTTTCTAGATATCTCTGCAACAAGTGCTATGTTACTATATGTTGTGCGTATATGCAAGCATGCTTTATTAAATAACGTATTCACTCACAAGACACGGCGAAATGATATGCAAAATAATGCATCATTAATTCACAAATTTTGTCAACTTTTTCCTGTCAATTTATAACAAATTCTTATCATCTTTTCTTATCTACTTTCCTCTTAACTGAACTGATTGAATTCTGATTAATCAAAACTCTGCTTCTACTGAGTAATTAAGTTTTCTGATTGATTAACTTCTTTGATTAACGATTCCGATTGATTTTTTTGACTAATTCACATTTTTGAAAATAATTAAATATACAAGCTCAGTTGCAACGGCGCGACTTATATATAGAAATTATAAAATATATAAAAATTTCGAGTGATGTGATTCTGAAGGAACATGAAGCGAACGAAAGCTCTTTTATTAAATTAGGAATATAGTTTAAGTAAGATAGTATCGTCAGTGTTCATTTCATATCAAGTGCGAATGATATCTGATGGAGTAAATTTACGTGCAGTGTCAAATATCAGTCGTTCAGAGGTGTGCAATCGGTTTTGTCTATGACGTCGCTTGCAACGGATTCGATTTATCAATAGAAGAAATCTTTTCTCATCTTTCTTCCGGGTTAATAGTTCATTGTCTTTTGATTCATTTGTTAACAATCAGAATGGTTGCAAATCTTTATTATATTGTTTAGAACATCAATACAGAACAGCTTTCTCTAAAAAGAAGAACTTCTTTCTTATGATTCTTTTGGATTTCATAACTTTTTTTATTCATGGTTAGTAAATTAACTTTCTCAAAGGTATCAAATTTCTGGTTCCAAATTCTTTATTGATGTGTTTAGAAAATAATATTCTTCGCTCTTGTAAATTCGCTCTACAAGCGCGCAGAAAATGATAACGAAGCTTAGTTATGTTTGTAAGAACGCGTTTGTAAGAAAAAAAAATCATGTGGAGATAATAATTCACAAAATAATTAAATTTGAAAAATTTAAGGGTCGGGTAAGCGTATGTAGATTTGTCTAATTTCCAACTTCAAGTAGTTGAAGCTAATAAGTATAAGATAAGCAGAAACAGAAAACTTTTCCATAGAACCGTCCGTGACCTATGGATAAGTCATTGATATATTCATGATAATATGTTAAATCAGACAAGAAATAAATAGACTTTTGTTGAACTGTTTAAAAATATATATTGAATATAAGTCTGAAAAAAACGAGAGATAGTAGAAACATTAAAAAGACGGAGATTACGGTACATGCGTTGGTACATGCGATAAAACCATGCGATTCGAAAAGAATCGTTCTCTCTCCTCTTTGTCGTGATATTGATATATATCAGGTGTAAGAGATAAAGGATATCAAGTGTCACGAGATCACCTTTAGACACCTGTATTTGCAGAATGGAGTTGAAAAAAATATTGTTTTTATTTGTTAAATGATAACCGGTCAATACCGATTAAAATTGTTAATAAAGTCAGTAATTGAGTCAGTCTACATAAATAATTACACGCTGCACTGCACAATTTAAGTTTACATATAATTGTGCAATTGTGCAATTACGTGATTGTAACAACTTAAAAAATTATAAAATTTTTATATGGGTTCGTCGTTCGTTTCAGTTATGGATTTTTTCGTGAAATGAAAAAATATCAAAATTACAAGATTCATCAAATATTCGTGTGACGAATTTTGATTTTCTAATCATAAATAAGCGATATCTATAATGATTTTATTCAGTATTTATTAATTCTTTATTTAAGATTCGAGTAGAAAGTATAACATATATATTGGTAATAATAAATGTATATAAGAATAAGACGAATATTCGATATTTTTTGATTATTTTTTGATTTATTTGTAAACAGTTTTTGTTTAATTCTTTTAATCTCCTTTTATATCTGTTTACTGAAATTTAAAATTTTGTCGATATTTCTTTTAAATTCTGATAGTAATTGTATACCCGTACAGTTCTCCAATTAGGCGCTATTTCGTAATCAAAAGGCGATAATACCAAGTATACATTATAAGCATCATTGATAGATGTGTAACCAAATTGCGTAGTATTAATATTTCGGTTACAAGCAAATGATATATTTTTTTCTACAAAAAATATTGTTATTTATAAACCAATAATTAGTAGATAATATTCGAGAAAAGTAATTTATGAAAAATGTTAATAAGAGGCATAAGGATAAGATAATTTTGCAAAATAAATAAAACAAAAAGCGATAACGAATATATTCATAAATTCTTGCAGTTGTAAAATCATGTAAATAAATGTTAATATCATGTTGCATCAGACTTGAAACTTAAACAGAATATAAACAGAAGTGACAATACACAGATATATTATATATTATATCGAATTATATCGAATTATATCGAAGTTCATCTAAAGTTCACTTTAATTGTTTAAATACATGAATCAGTGTCACTACAATCAGAAAAATTAATTTTTTAAGCTCGCTATCTTAAATCCATAAATTTAATAAAAATTCTTCAAAAAAATTTTTTAAATTATACAAATTATATAAATTATACAAATTTGACGAAAATTACAAATAAATATACATTTTGTAATTTTGTAATAAATAAAAAATCGCATTATTTTTTAAATTAATTCTTTTTTTGGAAATACCTTAAAAAATTTTAATTATTTAAAACTATAGAATTCTATTTGAGATTTTTTTTCAAATCTCTGAAATAAAATCAAACGATTTTAAATAACGACATCACAAATGATATATTGAAGATCCCACTTGTTTTAAAATTTTAATTATTTCCTTTTTGAAATATGTAGATAATTTCACGCACAAATATTTAATAATATCAAAAATACTTTTGTCAAAATAATATTTATCAGTACTTTCTTTTCTTTATCATCAGATATCATGTAAAATAAAAAAAACAAAGTTAATACGCAGACAATATTTGTTAATTTTTTAATATCATGTACTGTTATTGCATAAATTTCACATGTTTCCTGCATACTCATCAAACAATTTACTGCTGTCAATAACGTCAATACTGGACTGGTATACAATACATAATGATAATGCCAATACTTGTGTTAAGTTTTATATGCATGCAGCGAGAGTGCTCATTATGGTAAGTATCGGATTCACTTTAACATCGCAAATCTGTTAATACTTTTGCTCGTGCATAATGTGGCTCATAACTACGATATCTTTAATTATTTTTACACAATACATGTGTTTATATGCCGCGAGTGAAAACATTTTCACTGTTGAAGAAAACTATGCACGTAATCGATCAAGTTCCTGCATTTTCGGCGTTCAGTCAGTGTCAATACTTATGTTCAACAGGTAAAATACGTACGTGAGTATTCAGAATTAGTTTACTTTCAGCATTGCTGACGTTCGTATTTTTTTAGTGATACTCCTCAGGGTCAATCTGTCGATATAAACGAATCCTGCGATTTTGTCGATCCATCAAAACCAGTTGCCTTCCTGACGCATGGTTTTCTCGCACATTCAAACTGGACTAATTATTACAAACTTGCCTCTCAACTGTTAAAAGTAAAAACATTATTTATAAGACGTTATTTATTTGTTATAAATTAAAATAAAATCGCGATACTTACTTCTCTCTCTGTAATTTGAAAAATCTCATGTCATATCATACAAATAATGTAAAAATATCACAAAACTTAGTAAAAGTTTAATAAAATAACTTCTTCCTTTCTCAGAAAGAGTATACAGTATTTTCGTTAGATTGGTCCAATGCATCGTGCTATAATGATCCAATCGTCCTGAGATTGCTGGAGTATCCCAGTGCAATGAGCAATACTGTCGAAGTTGGTAATTACTTGGCAAGGTATATATATCAGTGTTATGTTAAATTAAATTTAAGGCAAAAATATATAATAAATAGAAATATATAATAATATAATAAATATAATATAATATTAATTCAAATTATTCCATACAATATTCTAATATAAACAATTCTAACATATAATACAAAATAAATATATTAAAATTTAGTTTTAATCCAGTATTGTTACATTACATTAAAGATAATAAAAACGTTAAAGATCCCGAATAAGATGTAATATTTTTGATTCGTAGTGTGTATTTGGAAATTTCTCTTTCAGTTACATCAAATCGGTGATCGACGTGTGTGATGTTCCATTGAAAAGCATCACACTTGTGGGTCATAGTCTCGGCGCGCATATAAATGGCTTTGCCGCGAAGAACATTAAGAAATCGATTTCTGGCAAGATCCCGCTTCTCATTGGTACCGATCCCGCAGCTCCCCCGTTCATGTTTCAAAGTTGCCCAAATCGATTTTGCATTGAAGACGCCGATCGTGTAATAGCTTTCCATACGTCGCCTCTCGGGATACCATACTCTATAGCTCACCTTGATTTGTGGTTCAATAACGGAATGCTCCAACCGGGATGTAAGCAATTAATTACTTTACTAAAGAATTTAGAAATAATTAGTTATTAAAAAATCAATTAAAATAGAAAATAAAACATTATTAATGAAATAAAAATTTTTGTTTCAGGCGAGTTATTCGGCTTCAATGTCGAATGCTCTCATAACATAGCTGTTGAGTACTTGGCTCATATGTTGTTAAATAATTGTAACTTTATTGGTGTTCCTACGAAGTAAGTTCACTTCTCTTTAAAAGCATGTTTAAATTTAAATCAATTCCCAAGTTTTGATAGTTTTCTTAGACTAAAAATTATATCTATCAAATTAATATAAGCATATATTATAAGATAGATACATGTTATATTATTATAGTTATATACGCATTATTTAATGTTATTTTTTTCACCCAGGCATCTTATTTCAACACCTTTAAGGTATCGAAAATTTATCTCCTATTCAAATTTGTTTGCGTAATAGAATTTTTAATTATTTTGAAATTATATTACTTATCATAATTTGATATTCTTGCAGATTTGTGCCCAAATGTCCTGTTCCTGACAAAATCAGCTGTATCAGTATAAATGACAAAATATTCGATAGTAATAATTCTATAAAAGGAAATTACTGTGTACACGTTAAATCGCAATCTCCTTATTGTACTGGAAGTTCTAGTAGCTGTCTACAATAAATTCTCCTGCAAATTCAGGTTAAATTTATTACAATGATAACGAAGTTATTATTAAAGTGCATAATCGTTAATTATAAATAAATACTTACATTAATTTACGTGATTAGTATATAAATCTTCATTGTTGAAATTCTTGAAATTATTACTAATAAAATGGAATAAAGCATGCAATTTAAGGTTCATAAAAATGTATTAATATATTGGAAAACGCACATTTAAATATTAAAATAAAAATTATAGAAAATAATCTGTTTCAAAATAATTCAATTTTTGTAAAAGATTACAAAAGATGATATCAAAGATTGACATCAATTAACAAGAATTATAAGAATAAAAAAATATAGCTATGTATAGTTATTTATAAAAAAGATTAATACTAATTAATTAAAGTTAAAGATATTTCTTAATTGCGAGATAGCAGTGAATGAGAAAGGCTACCTATCAAATAAGCAATCTTTTGGATATGATGATAACTAAAATGATTTTTCAATCGAAATTTATACATTAAGTCTTTGCATCATAATATTTTATAAGATACATAGAGAAAAAATAAAGATAAAATAAAGAGAAGAGAAATTTTTTTATATGATTCAAACTCACTATTAATTAAACATATTTTAATTAATCCAATCTTTTTTGAGTTCCAATAACCTCAGATACTTATAACTGATCGCCTCGTGTAAAGCTATACGGATCAATCGAAATCGCTGATACATACATTTAACAACGAGCCATGTGTTTTTTAAGAGAGTAATTGAAAAAATAAATATCAGCAGAATTCGTTATACATATGAATATATATAAAGATTATATACTATATAAGAGTTTTAATTTTTTATATTGGCTCGCTCACTTTTATCATATTTTCTTTTGTGCTAGTGTGCGTGCGTGCGTGCGTGCGTGCGTGCGTGCGTGCGTGTGTGCGTGCGTGCGTGCGTGTGTGTGTGTGTGTGTGTGTGTGTGTGTGTGTGTGTGTGTGTAG